AACCTTGAAGAAAACAGAATCATATAAGTACATCAGGTTTCATAGAGCCAAACATTTCAAGTGCTACTCACATGACTTCACGTCACCTCCGCTAAGCTAAAGGTGGCTAATGTTGGGCTATAAAGGAACTACAGCACGGTCACATGACTTCACGTCACCTCCGCTAAGCTAAAGGTGGCTAATGTTGGGCTATAAAGGAACTACAGCACGGTCACATGACTTCACGTCACCTCCGCTAAGCTAAAGGTGGCTAATGTTGGGCTATAAAGAAACTACAGCACGGTCACATGACTTCAGATCACCACCACTAAGCTAAAGGTGGCTAATGTTGGGCTATAAAGGAACTACAGCACGGTCACATGACTTCAGATCACCACCGCTAAGCTAAAGGCGGCTAATGTTGGGCTATAAAGGAACTACAGCACGGTCACATGACTTCACGTCACCACCGCTAAGCTAAAGGCGGCTAATGTTGGGCTATAAAGGAACTACAGCACGGTCACATGGCTTCACGTCACCACCGCTAAGCTAAAGGTCGCTAATGTTGGGCTATAAAGAAACTACAGCACGGTCACATGACTTCAGATCACCACCGCTAAGCTAAAGGTGGCTAATGTTGGGCTATAAAGGAACTACAGCACGGTCACATGACTTCATGTCACCACCGCTAAGCTAAAGGTGGCTAATGTTGGGCTATAAAGAAACTACAGCACGGTCACATGACTTCACGTCACCACCGCTAAGCTAAAGGTGGCTAATGTTGGGCTATAAAGGAACGACAGCACGGTCACATGACTTCACGTCACCACCGCTAAGCTAAAGGTGGCTAATGTTGGGCTATAAAGGAACGACAGCACGGTCACATGACTTCACGTCACCACCGCTAAGCTAAAGGAGGCTAATGTTGTGCTATAAAGGAACTACAGCACGGTCACATGACTTCACGTTACCACCGCTAAGCTAAAGGAGGCTAATGTTGGGCTATAAAGGAACTACAGCACGGTCAAATTACTTTATGTCACTACCGCTAAGCTAAAGGTGGCTAATGTTGGGCTATAAAGAAACTACAGCACGGTCACATGACTTCACGTCACCACCGCTAAGCTAAAGGTGGCTAATGTTGGGCTATAAAGGAACTACAGCACGGTCACATGACTTCACGTCACCACCGCTAAGCTAAAGGTGGCTAATGTTGGGCTATAAAGAATCTACAGCACGGTCACATAACTTCACGTCACCACCACTAAGCTAAAGACGGCTAATGTTGGGCTATAAAGGAACTACAGCACGGTCACATGACTTAACGTCACCACCGCTAAGCTAAAGACGGCTAATGTTGGGCTATAAAGGAACTACAGCACGGTCACATGACTTCACGTCACCACCGCTAAGCTAAAGGAGGCTAATGTTGTGCTATAAAAGAACTACAGCACGGTCACATGACTTCACGTTACCACCGCTAAGCTAAAGGAGGCTAATGTTGGGCTATAAAGGAACTACAGCACGGTCAAATTACTTTATGTCACTACCGCTAAGCTAAAGGTGGCTAATGTTGGGCTATAAAGAAACTACAGCACGGTCACATGACTTCACGTCACCACCGCTAAGCTAAAGGTGGCTAATGTTGGGCTATAAAGGAACTACAGCACGTTCACATGACTTCACGTCACCACCGCTAAGCTAAAGGTGGCTAATGTTGGGCTATAAAGAATCTACAGCACGGTCACATGACTTCACGTCACCACCACTAAGCTAAAGACGGCTAATGTTGGGCTATAAAGGAACTACAGCACGGTCACATGACTTAACGTCACCACCGCTAAGCTAAAGACGGCTAATGTTGGGCTATAAAGGAACTACAGCACGGTCACATGACTTCACGTCACCACCGCTAAGCTAAAGGAGGCTAATGTTGGGCTATAAAGGAACTACAGCACGGTCAAATTACTTTATGTCACTACCGCTAAGCTAAAGGTGGCTATTGTTGGGCTATAAAGCAACTAAGTCCAGCTGAGGCTAATGTGGACTGTTTTTGGTCCTAGAAAAAGTCACTAGGGTTTATCTCAAAGTGCATAATGAAGATTTAAAATTTGCTGACGATCCATCGTGATTCACACTACTGACCTTTCAAAACTAAACTGTTAGTATGACTGCATGTGTTATTGTTGGCCTGTAGGACTGGGAGCGGTCCGCTGCTCTTACTGGGTAAACAACTGATTTAATTACTCAAACAATCACAGGGTCTGATCTCATCCCACGCACATGTTGTTTTCTAATTTTCTGTTTTTACTGCAAGGCTGAACATGAGACAGTAAGTGACAGAGGTGGACTGTTACTAAGCAGATTTAGTGTCTCTACTTTAAAGAGTCCTCTCCTGCTGATGTTCAGGTGTTTATCAGTATTTAGTGTCTCTACTTTAAAGAGTCCTCTCCTGCTGATGTTCAGGTGTATATCAGTGTGTAGTGTCTCTACTTTAAAGAGTCATCTCCTGCTGATGTTCAGGTGTATATCAGTATGTAGTGTCTCTACTTTAAAGAGTCCTCTCCTGCTGATGTTCAGGTGTATATCAGTATGTAGTGTCTCTACTTTAAAGAGTCCTCTCCTGCTGATGTTCAGGTGTATATCAGTATGTAGTGTCTCTACTTTAAAGAGTCATCTCCTGCTGATGTTCAGGTGTATATCAGCATGTAGTGTCTCTACTTTAAAGAGTCCTCTCCTGCTGATGTTCAGGTGTATATCAGTATGTAGTGTCTCTACTTTAAAGAGTCCTCTCCTGCTGATGTTCAGGTGTATATCAGTATGTAGTGACTCTACTTTAAAGAGTCCTCTCCTGCTGATGTTCAGGTGTATATCAGTATGTAGTGTCTCTACTTTAAAGAGTCCTCTCCTGCTGATGTTCAGGTGTATATCAGTATGTAGTGTCTCTACTTTAAAGAGTCCTCTCCTGCTGATGTTCAGGTGTATATCAGTATGTAGTGTCTCTACTTTAAAGAGTCCTCTCCTGCTGATGTTCAGGTGTATATCAGTATGTAGTTTCTCTACTTTAAAGAGTCCTCTCCTGCTGATGTTCAGGTGTATATCAGTATGTAGTTTCTCTACTTTAAAGAGTCCTCTCCTGCTGATGTTCAGGTGTATATCAGTATGTAGTGTCTCTACTTTAAAGAGTCCTCTCCTGCTGATGTTCAGGTGTATATCAGTATGTAGTGTCTCTACTTTAAAGAGTCCTCTCCTGCTGATGTTCAGGTGTATATCAGTATGTAGTGTCTCTACTTTAAAGAGTCCTCTCCTGAAACCAGAGCCCAGTCTGCTCCGATTGGTTAGCTGGCCGACTCTGCTGTGATTGGTCAACCACTTAAGGATGTCCCGCCCCCTAAATCAATTGTGTCATTGTTAACTGTAACTCTAGTCTAATTGTTGTTGTCATTGAGAAAACAATGATAGCCTCACATGAACACACACACTTCAATACATGTCCTCATGCCCGTATCTGAGAGGAACCATCAGCATGTTTGAGGACAAACAGGTGACGTACACACACACACACACACACACACACACACACACACACAAACACACCTGGCCTATAAAGACTTTGCCTTGTTTACCCTCCGCACAGATGGAGGCTGAGGAATGCTGTCATTGTGGAGGACACACACACACACACCACACACCACGCACACACACACACACACACACACACACACACACACACACACACACACACACACACACACACACACACACACACACACACTGATGATGTCTTGCCCACCTTTAAGCTTTCTGTCATAAACGTCTGAGTGTGTTTGCAGCTAACACCTGCTGGCGCTGCTGCAGGAAGTATTCAGATCCTTATTTAAAGGCACAGTAATTAGGACTCAAACACTCACATAACATCTATTGCTTTGATCACGCCTTAAAAGCATTACGTTTACTGTAATTTAGGAGCTAGACACATGATAATATATATATATATATATATTGAATTATTGCTGGTTGATAGGAAGATATGCAGGATTGCTTCTATTATCATAGATACCCAACAACCAATCAATTATCCAAGCAATCATTTCACCTCCTATTTGGTTTGACCGGTACAATACGACTTCCTTTACTTCCTTTGATCTGGTCCTTTATGTAAACTCTTCATATTTGAATAACTACCTCAGTCAGATACATGTAGTTTAGTAAAGTATGGTAGTTCTCTCTGAAAGCTAGCAGAGCATTCAGTCTCATGAATGGGACTCCTCATGTAAAGTATACTTTAACTTCGTACTTCACTAAATGCTCTCGTTCCTCTCAGGTGGTTTTTGTCCTGCTGCATCACTTCAGCTGCTGCAGAGCCCCCCCCCCCCCCCCCCCTCGTCTTCTTCATCCTCTCATTTCACACTCAGCTGCTCTCACTCCTGCAGAGAACACACACTCAAAGTTACTTTAAACAGGACGTCTTCCCACACACACACACTCTGCCGACTTATTGCTGTCCCGTCCCGAGCTGCGTAACGATTATTCTCAGGCAGGCAGGGGTAAGAAGTGTGTGTGTGTGTGTGTGTGTGTGTGTGTGTGTGTGTGTGCGCTGCAGTTATTCTGCTGACTGCAGGAGCCGGCGCATCAGCAATTGGAAACAGTGAATGAAGATAAGGAAGGGGGGGATCAATCCGAACTACCACACACACACACACACACACACACTTCCTGACACACACTTAAGCCTCAAAAGAAACTAAATAACTTTTCATCCCAAGGACATTCCTCTCTTGTTTTGACCTGTGAAGAAACCCAGTTAGTTATATTTCTGATGTGTTTTACAGCTTAATGTATATTGATGGTGTATTACGTTAGTATTTGTCCTTGTCTTTGTTGCCAGTGGAGCAGCTGTGAGGAAAGAACCATGTCAGACTTGATCGAACAGTAAAGTATTATCACATTGTAAAAACACAATGACCTGATTCAGTGATTTGAATTTCATGTTGGCCCTGGAACCGTTTAGGGGAGGCGAATTCCCTCCCTCTGCTGGGGGTGAGTGTGTAGAGGATGGGCTGCAGCGTGTGTGTGTGTGTGAGAGTATGTGTGTGTGTGTGAATGGAGGGTGACGCTGCACTGTGGCTCAGTCTCTCTGAAGTTGTGGACTGTCAGTGTCAGCGGGACATGTTGGATGACGGGGAGCATTTCCTGCACAGTATGTACTGCATGTGTGTGTGTGTTATATGGTGTGTGTGTGTGTGTCCTCTGTAGTGTGAAGTTCTCTCGGGACGGTTGGTTCGTGCATCGACGACGATTCAATGTGATCTTTGTAACATGCAGAGTTTTATTTTGAGTTCTAATTTGGGTTCTTAAGTGTGTGTGTGTGTGTGTGCAGATTTGTGTGCACTGCAGACAGAAACACTGCTGCGTGCAGATAAATAACTTTCCTTTCTCTGCACCAATGCAACTAAAGTAAAGCTCTTCCTCCTCCTCTTCCTCTCTGCAGTGATCAGAAGATGAAGATGATTCCTGTGCTGATCTGTGCGCTCCTCTCTCTGACTGTCGCCGAAAGCGACTTAGACAAACTGTACCCCGAACTGGAGCACTCCAGAACCATCTATGTCACAGGTGAGTGTGTGTGTGTGTGTGTGTGTGCGTGTGTTGCGTTCCCGACACTCTGCAGTTTATCTGCGGCTCCTCTGAGATAACGCTGCTATGTGGGGGATTATCTGCTCACAGAGATTAGTGGTATCTCTTCACACAGATGAAACTTTGTCAAGATTTTAAACTTTGAGAGGAAGCCGAGGTACAGATGTTTGTTTGTTTGTGTGTGTGTGTGTGTGTGTGTGTGTGTGTGTGTGTGTGTGTGTGTGTGTGTGTGTGTGTACCATTTATCTAGGAATCTGTAATCCTTGTGAGTCAGGGTTACATCTGGTATTCGACCCATGGTGTTGAAACAGGCAGCTATTCTGCTTTTCGTGGTGTTCCCTCTCCTGGTGTGCAAAGGCTAACATCCCTGTGTTGCCTCCAGAGGAAGTTTCTCTCCCGCACACTAACACTCATTATTTAAGAATTAACACCTGACAATATCTGATAGCAACCTCTAACTAATCACTATCTAAAAGTTATTAAAAAGTTAAAAAATAACTAACTACAAATAAAGCTTTTAAACACTTATTTGCCCACTAATGAATAAACAATAACAAACGTATAACTTCCTTCTGCCAGAGTCATATTGCCTTAAACGCAAATATCAACCTACCTTTGACACAGAATCAATTAGCTGTTTGATCACTTACATTGACACACACACACACACACACACACACACACACACACACACACACACATACACACACACACACACACACACACACACACACACGTGCTTACACAGCATACAAAGTGCTGCGGTGGTTAAACAGCCAATCAGAGAGCCTGTTAGTGATGGAGGCTGAAGGTCAGAGATGCTAACGTTAGCGCTCTGTGTGCTGAGACACAGCTGGAGGTATCTAGTGTGTGTACTCTGCAGCAGGACATTATTTAATGTGTACAGGTATGGATTCATCTCACCTTGGTGAAGCTGCACACATGAGAACAAGCAGCTGAGAGTTACTGGGTGTTAAAGGAGTGGTTACACATTGAAAGAAATAGGCCTATTTGCTTTTTCTTTCATGAATGCCAATAATATCTAAAAGATAGGAAGCTAGCATCATTAGCTAAAGTTGAGCTGCTAAAACATGGCACAACAAAATAATGATGAACGTATTAAAGTGTCAATGCTTTGAGCACCAGGAAAATAATATAAATAACATGTATTATTATTATTATTATTAAAGTGCTGTACTCTCTTTCGACTATCTCAGTCAGTATAGCTTTTTATCAACAGCACGTTAGCATTGTCACCGTTAGCACGTTAGCGACCTTACGGAGCCATGAACTTGGCTGCAGACCTAAAATCTTTTTTAGATGTTGACGGAGAAAGGCTCGCTGTTTCCTACTGCTTTCAGTCTTTGTGCTAAGCTAGGTACTTCACATAAGGCGCGTTCACACCGGATTACTTTTACCCGTACTTTTCCAATTTAGTTCCGATAGTGCCTGGAATTTTGCGTTCACACCAAAAAGAGAACTTAGTTCATGAGAACTTTCCCCCCCTGTTCAGTCCCTGCTCGAGAGGTGGGACTATCCTGGGGAGAAAATAACCCATTTCTGATTGGCTGGGCGAATTGCAAACCACGCCCCGTAAAACTCTGAAAAGTGTTTTTAAGGCGCCATTGTATTTGCTGGCATTAGCATTATTAGCATTAGCATTATTAGCATTAGCATTAGCCAGCGCAGAAACGCAGAGAGACTAACTTATGGCAACACAAAAGAAAACATGGGAGCGGTGGAGATGAGGAGGTGTCGGCGTTCTGGTGATTTTATGGGGACTTCCGGCCGGGGACTCCGGGTGGCAGTATACGCCGTGAAGTGGTTTGCGGCCTGCCAGTAAACCCAAAGCAGAAGAAGAAGAAGTGACGTCAGCGGCTTCATTTGCGTAATCTTCCCTCAGGGACTTATTATAAATACTTGGTGTGAAAGCGGCTATCGACGTCAGATTGATATCCATCCTCTAATCTCACTCTTGGAAAAGCTGCAAATGCATTAATTTCTCTCAATGCTGTAATTATGTTGCTGTGTTTCAGAAAACGGGCCTCAGCTGTCGGTGGCGGCAGAACAAATGAAAGTGGTTTCGCGGCGCGGAGGAAACGCTACGTTACCGTGCAAGATCCGAATGGACCAATCAATGACGCCCAGCCGCAAGATGAGGATCAAATGGACCAAGATGACGTCGGACTACCTGAAAGAGGTACCAAGTTACTTTATCAATTATAGAATATCTGCGTTTTATCTTGTAGATCAAACTAACATTTTAATATTTGTTTTATTTGGAATTAGGGTCTCCATTTTGTTGATGTTTTGAGCTCAGCATGCTAAAGTGAAGCCAGTAAATGCACGTAACCTTTCCTTTGCTGACTGCAGAAGACCACAATGTTTAGTGCATTAATTGACAGTCGGTCAAAGTTATGCACACAGAAACCTAGCAATACACCTATATAAAGAAATAATAAAAACATTTAGAAATGGATAAACAATGGATGTTGCAAAACATTGAATATAATCAGAATTGGCAATTTTACATCTTGTTTTTTGTACGAATGAAACAAGAAATATCTGCCATGTTAGATATAGTTAGCTTTCATGTTTCACTTCTTATGCTAAGCTAAGCTAATGGGATTTAGTTTGTAGCCTTGTAATGTCCAGACAGATATGAGAGAGGTGTCACATCTGCTCATCCAATTTTCCACCAAAAAGCAAACTTCCCAAATTGTCAAATTTCTAGTTTAAACTCTAAGTTAGACATTTGTTTTGAAAATGTGGAATGTGCCTCTCTACCGTAGGTTTATCTTATACACAAATTAGAACGCCAAGGTGTTTCCATAAGTGAAAAAGGATTTAAATCAGAATTGAAAAGCGTATTTCTTGGCTCTAGCTTCAGCTGTACGCCAAGTTTTGTTATTATTATTATTTTAAAAAATGACGTTTTTCCTTCATCCGACAAACAAACACACACACACACACACACACACACACACACACACACACACACACACACACACACACACACACACACACACACACACACACATACCATGTATACATCACTTCAGGGGACATTACATTGACTTACGTGCATTTCCTGGAGACTTATCCTAACCTTAACCATAACCAACACATGCCTAACCCTAACCCTTACCCTAACCCTAACCAAGTCTTCACCCTAAAATTAATGATTCCCCTTATGGGGACCTCCATTTTGTCCCCATAAGGGAGGCGAGTCCCCACACGTGACTGTGTAAACAGATTTAGGTCCCCACAAGTATAGTAATGCTAGGCCACACACACACACACACACACACACACACACACACACACACACACACACACACACACACACACACACACACACACACACACACACACACACACACACACACACACACACACACACACATACACACACACACACACACACACACACACACACACACACACACACACACACACACACACAGGTAAGGATGTTGGAATAACACTCACGGATGTTTCTCCGTCTTCCTGCAGGTGGATGTTTTCGTGGCCATGGATTACCACAAGAGGAGTTACGGGAGTTTCCACGGTCGCGTCCACCTGCAGAGCTCGTCTCCGATGGACGCCTCTCTGGTCATCACCGAGATCACCCTGGAGGATTATGGGAGGTATAAATGTGAAGTGATCGACGGGCTGGAGGACGGGACGGTGGTGGTGTCTCTGGATCTGGAAGGTAGATCAAAAATACGATTTTAAATGTAAAAATATCAAGATGTTTTTTACTTGAGTGTATTAAGTGAGACAACAGGACAATCAAAGTCAAAGTCAACTTTAATGTCAATCTTTCAGTTTGTGTGTACAGAGAGATCGAAATACCGTTTACCACAATCCCGAATACAAATATACAAATATGTATAAGAATATGTATATCCTATACACAATCAACAGACACATTTATACATATGCACACATTAAGACATACATCAATAACAGTCACTTCAATATGTTTCAATGAGACCTTAGAAAAGAAGAAAACCAAGATATTTAGGATTTCAAATTATATTTTAGGTAAACAGAATAGTATATCAATAGTGCATCTATACTGCATTAAAAAAAGAGCACAACAAAAGAAAATGTAGACACCTATAATACAATATCCTTTATTATAAAGCGCATTATAACATTGTCGTCCTTCTAGTCATCCCCATTGTACTTTTTTTTTACCAGTAATCCGTCTTTTTCTATGTAACTGTAAGCGAATACAGTTACCTTTACTTTGTATCCTGACTGCGTACGACATGTAATCCATTTCTCCCAGAGCCTGGTTAGACGTCATTGCTCTGTGACGCTGCAGACTAAATTTAGCAGCGACGCTCGGGGGAAAGTCAGGAGTGTGTTCCGTGAGCAAGAAGTAATGGAATAAAAAGTGTGTGTGTGTGTGTGTGTGTGTGTGAGTGTGGTCTAGCATTACTATACTTGTGGGGACCTAAATCTGTTTACACAGTCACGTGTGGGGACTCGCCTCCCTTATGGGGACAAATTGGAGGTCCCCATGAGGGGGATCATTAATTTTAGGGTGAAGACCTCGTTAGGTTTAGGATTAGGGTTAGGCATGTGTTGGTTCTGGTTAAGGTTAGGATAAGTCTCCAGGAAATGCATGTAAGTCAATGTAATGTCCCCTGAAGTAATGTATACATGGTATGTGTGTGTGTGTGTGTGTGCATGAGTGTGTCTGTGTGAGTGTCTGTGTGAGTGTGTTTGTCTGTGTGAGTGTGTGTGTGTCTGTGTGAGTGTGTGTGTGTGTCCTGTGTGAGTGTGTGTGTGTCTGTGTGAGTGTGTGTGTGTGTGAGTGTGTGTGTGAGTGTCTGTGTGAGTGTGTTTGTCTGTGTGAGTGTGTTTGTCTGTGTGAGTGTGTGTGTGTGTGTGTGTGAGTGTGTGTGTGAGTGTCTGTGTGAGTGTGTTTGTCTGTGTGAGTGTGTTTGTCTGTGTGAGTGTGTGTGTGTGTGTGTGTGTGAGTGAGTGTGTGTGTGTGTGTGTGTGTGTGTGTGTGTGTGTGTGTGTGTGTGTGTGTGAGAGTCACAGCAGCCATCAGCGTCTGAAGCCAAGAAGTGCTGGCAGCAGCTGACGGAGAAACAGCAAACACAGCGAGAGACTTTCTGTCATCAGGTTAAATAACTAAACTCAAACCCTGAGGATGCGTCTTTGTACGAGGAGCCACGAGGTTCCTTGTCAGTATTTGTGACTTTGAAATCACGGTTCATTGAACAACACTGAGATTTAAAGCTCTCCTATCAGGCAAAAGGCACTTTTTGATGTCTTTTATACATAAATATGTGTCCCCGGTGTTTAATGGTATTTTGAGCAAAACACTTCATAGACATGGTTTTATCTGAGACCTATAATAAATAAAGGAGAATGTATTCTTGTATTAATATCACTCCATGAGCATAATGCGTTACATAGTTGATCTGTTCATTAAGGCTGTCTTTTCTAAAAGGGTCTTGATGTCTCCAGCAGTGTTTCTCAAACGACTTAACCAAGGACTTAACCAATAAAAAAACACTCTCGGACCACCTAACTCCACAAATATCCAAAATCACATCGTTTTTCTAGAACAGATTATAAATCGCCTGAAAATGGTACAAACAAGTGGCAACATGTGTGATGAAGGTGTTGCACTGGGCTATATCATGCAATCAAAAGTGAAACTTAAACTCGCTCCATTGCGGAGATATTCCCGCGAGAGTGCGGAAAACTTAAATTTATTTATTTATTTCAAATGTGAAATTGTACCAATATACTCACGGACCACTAGGGGGTGCTCACGGAACACCAGCGGACCACACTTTGAGAAGCACTGCTCTACAGTGAACAGACTGTAACATTTAAAATACATTTCAATAAAACAAAGTCTAAATTGCAAGATGTTTTCTTTTAACCCTGAATAGGTACTGTAGGAAAAGAAAAAGTAAAAAATTGGAATGAACTTTTTTCCTCGGTTCCCAGGAGGATACGCCTAAAAATAGAATAATAGGAGACCTTTAACAAGCCTTACTTTAAAAGTGCTGGAGATACACTTCTTACTTCTTGCTGACACACATCCTGTCTCCCCTCCAGGTGTCGTCTTCCCGTACTACCCTCGCCTCGGCCGCTACAACCTGAACTTCTACGACGCTGAGCGGGCGTGCCGGGATCAGGACGCCGTGGTGGCTTCGTTCGATCAGCTGTACGACGCGTGGCGAGGGAAACTGGACTGGTGCAACGCCGGCTGGCTGAGCGACGGCTCGGTTCAGTATCCCATCACTAACCCTCGGGAACCCTGCGGTGGAAAGAACATCGCGCCGGGCGTCCGAAACTACGGCCTGAGAGACAAAGACAAGAACCACTATGACGTGTTCTGCTTCACCTCCCACTACAAAGGTGTGTGTGTGTGTGTGTGTGTGTGTGTGTGTGTGTGTGTGTGTGTGTGTGTGTGTGTTTACCATCATTTAACCAATGCATTGTCCAATTTCACATAGTAGGCTAAATGAGAGTTCTAAATAGTTGCGTTTGTGTAGGTATTTTAGAAAATGCAGTTGTGTTTGCACCTTGGTTCAGCGCAAACGAGAGGTGCAGTGATGAGTTGGGGGTGCTAATGAGCCATAGAAGCTAACTTATATTTAATAATATCAGACTGTATTTGCAGAGAACCTTTTATATTAGAGTTGCAGTCGAGTGCTTCACAGTAGAGAATTGACATCTCTTAAAAATTCACATAAAACTGACATCACATATATTTACAAGTAAAAGACATACAAATAAACATAACATAATATGAGCATAGAATAGAAGTAAAAATAAATTAGATTGAAAGTTACAACGATTTGGAAGAGCAGAAGGAAAGGTTCTCCAAAGATCTGGCCCAGAACCAGGAGAGCTGGGAGACCAAGTTAGGTTTGGTGGAGACCAAATTAAAAGAGGTGACTCAGCAGAAGCACGACCTGGCCGAGAAACAGCTGAGCTGGGAGAAGGAACAGGAAGAGGTTCAGGCTGAATTAAAAATGGCAGAGGATGAGAAAAAGGACTCGGCCAAGAAGAACCTGAGCCTGGAGAAGGAAGTCCAACTGAAGGAGAGGCCGGTGAAGCAGCTGGAGAACCATTTGGATGAGCAGAAGAAGAGGTTCTCCAAAGACCTGGCCCAGAACCAGGAGAGCTGGGAGACCAAGGTCCATCTGACGGAGACACGATGGAAGCAGGAGGAGGAGCAGAGGGACGACCTGGCTCAGGGACAGCTGAGCTGGGAGACCAAGGTCCATCTGACGGAGACACGATGGAAGCAGGAGGAGGAGCAGAGGGACGACCTGGCTCAGGGACAGCTGAGCTGGGAGACCAAGGTCTATCTGACGGAGACACGATGGAAGCAGGAGGAGGAGCAGAGGGACGACCTGGCTCAGGGACAGCTGAGCTGGGAGAACAAGGTCCATCTGACGGAGACACGATGGAAGCAGGTGGAGGAGCAGAGGGACGACCTGGCTCAGGGACAGCTGAGCTGGGAGAACAAGGTCCATCTGACGGAGACACGATGGAAGCAGGAGGAGGAGCAGAGGGACGACCTGGCTCAGGGACAGCTGAGCTGGGAGACCAAGGTCCATCTGACGGAGACACGATGGAAGCAGGAGGAGGAGCAGAAGGACGACCTGGCTCAGGGACAGCTGAGCTGGGAGACCAAGGTCCATCTGACGGAGACACGATGGAAGCAGGAGGAGGAGCAGAGGGACGACCTGGCTCAGGGACAGCTGAGCTGGGAGAACAAGGTCCATCTGACGGAGACACGATGGAAGCAGGAGGAGGAGCAGAGGGACGACCTGGCTCAGGGACAGCTGAGCTGGGAGAACAAGGTCCATCTGATGGAGACACGATGGAAGCAGGTGGAGGAGCAGAGGGACGATCTGGCTCAGGGACAGCTGAGCTGGGAGACCAAGGTCCATCTGACGGAGACACGATGGAAGCAGGAGGAGCAGAGGGACGATCTGGCTCAGGGACAGCTGGAGGAGGAGAAGAAGCTGCTGGAGGACCTCTGTCTTCACAAGAAGAACAAGAGCAGAGAGTTCTTCTCCCGCAGGAAGGACACTGAGGACAGTCTCCTTGCAGAAGATGAAGGGCAAGATGCTAGAGAAGGAGATGAGGAAGAAATCAAAGAGGGAGGAAGCTGAGGGGAGAAACAGCGCCTCAAAAGAGACGAAGACGACGGAGGCTGGACAACAGTAACTCGCTCTTCCTCCTCCTCCTCTTCCTCCTCCACTCCCCTCACCTCCTTCCTCCTGCCTCACCCGCCTCCTCCCTTCACCTTTTTCTCATGTAGGGTTTTCTCCTGGAATTCAGGTTTTACAGCAATTCAAATAGGATTGACCAAAAAACATGAAGTCCCTCCTCCATTTAGCTCACCTCCTTCCTCCTAACTTACCCCCTCTCACCTCACACATAGTTTTCACAATACAATTAGGATACAATTAGGATACAATTAGGATTACAATTAAGATACAATTAGGATACAATTATGATTACAATTAGGATACAATTAGGATTACAATTAGGATACAATTAGGATACAATTAAGATACAATTAGGATACAATTAGGATACAATTAGCATTACAATCAGGATACAATTAGGATTAGGATTACAAAGACATGATTTAAAAAATAAAAATCTAATTGTATATGTGTGTTCCTCACTGTGTAAACATGTACAGTATACATTCATTACTGTTCCACATGTTGGTTACTAAAGTACTTTTATTTATTCAATTCTCAACATTTTCATAAATAAAACTACCCGTGGTAGGAAATAGAAGATGTTTGTACGGATACTTCTTGGTGTTTTTATATTTGTTTCACTGTACGTTCAATTCCATTATTTAGTTGTTGTTTTTGAACAAATGCAATGAACTTATAAATCTCTACATCCCTCAAAGCTGCTGGCCTTACAACACAAACATTTTAGACCTCACTTTAGTAAACATGCGTAAATATTATTTGCAAAACGTTGGTCAAATCCTGCATGATGGTCCCTGGGTTTTACTAACACATACTTTATATATCATGAGAAGTAGGAACATTTCTCAACCCATAAATGGACACTAAACACGTTAATCAAAACCCACATTTAAAATCACCTAATTTTGGTATGGAAAATTGTACATCTAAAAGAAGTACAATATTTGCCTTTGAGATTAAGTGATTTCGAAAAGTATATTTTTATTTTATACTTAAGTATATTGTAGTTTTGTTTAGCCCTGAGCCCAGGATTAGCTGAAAAGAATCCAGGAAGTTTATTTACAAATTAACAGCATTTAATTAAACAATGATACAATGAAATTGCAAAATGGTGGCTCTCCGTCCACTACCCTTGATGGACAGCTGGGGAAGAGACCGGCTTCCTGCTGGCTTCTAATTTCATCAACTTTCTGTGAGGCCCCGCCCCATATATTTAAAATGTCTCCAGTACCGTTAACAATACAAATAACGTCGGAGCTGATCCACGGCCTTTCAAAATGCCCCAGGGCCCGTTTCGGTACCCATCCCTTCGTTGATCTCTGGTCTCTGAGCCTAATAACACAAAAGCAGAGGACAGCATTGAGAAGGTGCAGCACAGAGCAAGAGTTAGCTAAAAGGCTAAAGGGAACAGATATGTGTTGAGCTTTCTTTTATAGACTTCCACGGAGCAGGACTCCCGGATGTCTGTAGGTATTTTGTCCCATAGCTTTGGGGCATGATTGGCGAAGGCTTCATCACCAAACTTCTTCTTTCTTTTAAGTTAAAACAAAGTTATGTGTCATTGTGTTTACGAGCCCTTGTCTTTTTGCAGGGCGGTTCTACTACCTGATCCACCCATCTAAGCTGACCTACGACGAGGCGGTCCAAGCGTGTCAGAAAGACGGCGCTCAGATCGCCAAAGTGGGCCAGATGTACGCCGCCTGGAAGCTTCTGGGCTTCGACCGCTGTGACGCGGGATGGCTCGCTGACGGCAGCGTTCGATACCCCATCTCTAACCCCCGGCGCCGCTGCAGCCCAACGGAGGCCGCCGTACGATTCAGCGGCTTCCCCGACAAAAAGCACAAGCTGTACGGAGTGTACTGCTTCAAGGGCCAACACTGAGCTACAAACACACACACACACACACACACACACACACACACACACACACACACACACACACACACACACACATACACACACACAGGAGGAATTTCGAACAAACTGTGATGCTTTATTTCAGTGGTTCCCAACCTAGGGGTAGTTGAGGGGATTGCAGGGGGATTGCAATATGTAGTATTTCCACGCATAAAACATTTGTAAAATACATTTTCGTAAGCCTGGTGTCCGTGGTAACAGTTCCTCCCTGGTGTTTATTGTAACCAGTGTTGGGGTAGTTACTCAAAAGAAGTAATGCATTACACATTATTAGTAACTTTACTTTGGATTACTCTGTAGCCTGAGATGCACCATGAAAAGAATATAAAGTGAAACATCATTTATGCTCAGATCAGCTGTACACTCTGTGTCTGGTCAGAGACAAACTAGATCTACCGGTACCGTGGCTGCAGAACTGCTTTAGGAGAGACACGTGAAAGAAAACAAAAACGGCTAACACTAATACATTTCTCATGGATTTAGATCTGATGATCCACCGCAGCCACAGTGGTTTTTAAGCCTTGCAAATAATGATATGAAGCCAGCCTACCTGCAGCGGCACCAGAGCTCCAAACACGGGACACAAGGTTGGGTAAAATACAACAACAAAGGGTTTATTTAACACAAATGTAGGTGAATCTTCATTTACAGATTGGCGACTAGCTCAAGGGATTCACGAGTCAAACAAAGGTTGGGAACCACTGCTTTAGTTCATGGAAACCTTGCATTGTAATGTGGGATCAACACATAGTTTACACATATTTAATGTTCTTATTATTGAATCAAGGCGAGGGTGGGAAGATATCACAGCTAACCCTAAAACAACGGACAATCGAAAAGAAAAGGACACGTCTGAACTGAGTTTCACAGCAACTCCATGTCCGACGGAAACTTTGGGCACTTATCTTGTTCTGTTCAAGACCGACACAAAGAGTCACATCCTGAGGTCATCAGGTAGGAAATCAAGCCCTACACAAAGAGTCACATCATGAGGTCATCAGGTAGGAAATCAAGCCCGACACAAAGAGTCACATCCTGAGGTCATCAGGTAGGAAATCAAGCCCTACACAAAGAGTCACATCCTGAGGTCATCAGGTAGGAAATCAAGACCGACACAAAGAGTCACATCCTGAGGTCATCAGGTAGGAAATCAAGCCCTACACAAAGAGTCACATCATGAGGTCATCAGGTAGGAAATCAAGCCCTACACAAAGAATCACATCATGAGGTCATCAGGTAGGAAATCAAGCCCTACACAAAGAGTCACATCCTGAGGTCATCAGGAAGGAAATCAAGACCTACACAACTAAAAAATGATCTTCTCCGTCCCTACGTAACAAGGTGCTACTACTGGTGCTTTGTACTTCATCACACCATCCAGTATTTTATGTTTTTATACAACCGTGTTGGACCGAACATCGCCACCTAAACAAGGAAAGAATCCAACATTTGTTTATGTTTTTTCTAAGTGGTTAGGATGTTAGTATCTAGGAATGTGCTTCTGTTTATGACTATTTGTTGATATACTGTAGACATTATTTTCTTTGTCCAAACTATCCAAGTCTCTTTGGTTTACATAACATAACGACAGTGGTAAAAATAAAGTATGACATTTGCACTGAAGGCGATGTAGACAAACAGTCGCTGTGCAGAAATAGAAAACGCCTGGCATGATTAGAAACCGTTGAGTGTGGCTTCATCTTAGCATGACTTAGCACCGTCAGTGCAGATCTACACACGATATATATCTATCTAGCGCCTTGAAAACTGCTATTTTTGATACAGATACTGTAGTTTCTTATAGTGAAAGAGCATTAGTGACCTCCGCACTCGGTGCGTAACTCCATATGAATGTTTCTGTGCAGGAATCACTTGTTATATCTTCTGATTGGAAAGTTTTGCTGCCAAAACTTGAAGTGGCTGCAAAACTCATTCCAACATATTCAAAGTAAAATGTTCAAATTGCATGAATTTTGAATCTTCACGTTGTACGATATCGTGCCACCTTTAAAATTTGCTAGATGCACAATCAAGTGTCCAGAAGACATTTGAGTCTCAACCATAACTCATAAAGTTTGGACTCAATATATTTTGTTGACTAAACCCATAAAAGACCAAACAAAAGGGGACACTGTATTTGCTCCAACAGCAGATTAAGATTCACCCTCTTCACGACATTGTTGTTGATTCACGGAGTTACGAAGGGTGAGCTGAGGTCACGGATGGGATCGGGCCAGATGCTGAGTGTTCGGCTCATTGATCGCTATCTGAGCTCTGCAGAGACCCAGCGGGCCGGCAGCCAACCTGCAAACACCAAGCGGTCTTCCATGTAAGGGTATCAGAGAAGTGCACGTTGATCAGGAATGAGCTCACTGTACGCAGTCCGGACAGGTCATCATCTCTGCTTGGCTTCAAATTGGACAAGCCACTGGACTATCGGACACTCTTATCTCCGCAGAACTGCTGCACACGTTATGTAATGATTAGACAGGGTGGGAAGTGAAAAGGTGATTTCACAGAACCGCAGCTGAAGGGTCTGCTGCAGGCTTGCACAACTAAGAGATGTTTCCTTTTACTTGTGTTATTGGAAGTTTAAACAGTTTGCAAACAGTGTTAAGTGTCAGTTTATTTAACGGATGGTTTGACATTGTTAAGAGTGCAACCTCTCTGCAAAAGACGTGAGAAAATGCCTGCTTTTGCCTGAGAAAAAAGTTGATTCTTCTCACTCCCTGTAAAGATAGAACATTTAGTTTTTACTTGTGTACAGATTAAAGAAATGGACAATAAGTACAATTCAGAAAGACAGATTGACACCAAAGTTGATTCTGTCTGTGTTAAATATGAGGCTAAAACCAGCAGCTGATTAGCTAGCCTAGCTCTTTCCAACGGTAACAATATCCACATATCAGTAGCTCTAATGTCTACAAATTACATTGGGAAGAAAAATGTTAGTTGATAGGCTTTAGAAGTGCTGGTCGGGGCATTTTTAAAACGTTTGGCTAGCTGTTTCTCCTTGTTTCCAGTGTCTTTGCTAAGCTAAGCTAACCTGCTGGATCCAGCTTCATAATTAGCATACACATGAGAGTATATTTACGTTCACTTTGTACGTATTTCTTATAATGTCAAGCTATTCTTTAAAAGCTTAAAATAATCTGTTGCCTGTTATCTTTTCTGTACAATCTGACCGATGCTTATACCTGCAGCTTGCAAGAAAAACCTTAGGGACCCAAAGACAAAAGGACAATAAAACCGATCATAAAACACGACTCTGCCTCTTTACTCATGGCTCATTGAGTTCGCCTATTATCACAAATCACGACATCTTATGAGCAATCAGTCTGCAGCTACGCTAAAAGTAAAGACAGCAGAGTTGATGTAATGGACTTTAGCTCTGGTGTAGTTCCTGGGTAATGCAGTAATGTTTCCAAAGGGAGGGGCGCTGCTGCCTGCACACACACGAATGCTTTCCTGCAGAAACACCAAGGCCGTTCATGGTGCTGATTTGCTAACGGGAAAACAACGTGTTTCCAAAGCACGGGACTGTTTTAGGAGCCGGGTGACGTCTGGGCTTTTTATGTTGATTCATGTTCACACGCTGGTTTCTAGGGAGGCCGTTTGTTTTAACGGTAAGATACACAGGTCAGCATTCATGCACACTTCAAATACGCATGTAAACATTTTCTACAATAATACAAAGGTATTCGCGTCGAAAGGAGCCAGTTGAGGTGGTTCGGGCACCTAGTAAGGATGCCACCTGGGCGCCTCCCTAGGGAGGTGTTCCAGGCACGTCCAGCTGGGAGGAGACCAAGGGGTAGACCTAGGACCAGGTGGAGGGATTATATCTCTTCGCTGGCCTGGGAGCGCCTTGGGATCCCCCAGTCAGAGCTGGTTGATGAGGGGGAAGGAACGTTTGGGGCTCTCTGCTGGAACTGATACCCCCGAGACCCGACCACGGATAAGCGGGAGAAGATGGATGGATGGATGGATGGAATACAAAGGTGAAACAAAAAAACAAACTCATAGTGTACACTTCTTTAGACATTTCTTTACTATTTAATAATAATGTAGGCTACCGCCTTTAAAAAGTAGTTTTCAGCCAATAGCACTCTAAAAACATAGTAATAGTAATAATGTTTATTGACCTTACGTTAATACATTTCAATTACCTAATCATAGTATATTTATTGTATGAACTTTGCATTCAAATGAATCACATCCAAAACATGTATAGCAGTGTGAGAAACACTGCACCAGGTAAGGAAATGAGGATTAATTCACCGCTAAAAAAAGTGCCATACAAATGTAATACAAAAAGAGTGACTTCACACTTCCCAGACGAACACCGTGTTTTTACTGACCTTCAGTCAGGGGTGGACTGGGACTAAAAATCAGCTAGTACCGCTAGTAAATTATCAACGGGGGTGGTGCTAGTGACTTATCCGACCGGCCCACTTCGTCCGACCGGCCCACTTCGGTACCGCTAGTAAACTGTCAACGGGGGGTGCTAGTGACTTATCCAACCGGCCCACTTCGGTACCGGCCCATCGGGAATCGTCCCGAACGTCCCGATGGCCAGTCCGCCACGCCTTCAGTGTTTTAACTTTAACTCACTTTGCTGCAAGGCAAGTTTATTTATATAGCACCTTTCAACACAAAGTGCTTTACAAAAATGAAAGACATTAAGAGCATTAAGAAACATATTATAAAATGATATCTAGAAACACTCATCTAAAAGCAATGATATAAAATGACATTTAAAAACATGCAGTCTTGTGCAGGTGTCCAGGACCCTGTGATAGAAGTGAGTCTGGGTGTGTTCATATGTGAAACATGGATTAAAGTAAAACAAATCTCACATAGAGAGACACCTTCTCACAGATAAAGAGAAGTTAAGTTCTGCTTACAGACTATAGCAGTTTGCTGGTACTGGTAGTAAAAAAAAAGGTAATATTGATAATATTAAACATGTTTGATGTAACAACAACAACAGGCCTAGATCACAGGATTGCGCCATAGTTAGCAATCTAGTGATTTTATTCCAAAAATGTGACATTTCTAATTGCTAGTTTGAAATATTCTTCCAACAGCATGATGTTAAAGTGTAGCATGGTCCCATTAGAGTCAAATAGACAACCAAGCTAGTTTGCTTGTGCTGGCATTAGCCGGTCACTTAGCATTAGCAGGTGACTAACATTAGCCGGTGACAGCATTAGCATGTGACTTAGCATTAGCTGGTGACTAAGCACAAGCTAGTGACTTAGCATTCGAGCTGGTGACTAAGCACTAGCTGGTGACTAAGCATTAGCACTGGTGACTTAGCATTAGCTGGTTACTAAGCATTAGCATGTGACTTAGCATTAGCAGGTGACTTAGCACTAGCTGGTGACTAAGCACTAGCTGGTGACTTAGCATTAGCTGGTGACTAAGCACTAGCTGGTGACTAAGCATTAGCACTGGTGACTTAGCATTAGCTGGTTACCAAGCATTAGCATGTGACTTAGCATTAGCAGGTGACTTAGCACTAGCTGGTGACTTAGCACTAGCTGGTGACTTAGCATTAGCAGGTGACTTAGCGTTGTGTTATATAATAATAATAATAATAATACATTTAATTTATAAGCGCTTTTTCAGGTGCTCATAGACACTTTACAGTGGTATTCAAATGGAAATTAAATATAAAAAGTTGAATTAGAATATTAAAACAACAACACAATATTATTCACACATTAAAAAGCCATTCTGAAGAGGTGTGTTTTGGTCAGTTATGGTATGCTAACGGTATGCTAACGGTACCTAGCCTGCGTGGTACGTCGTTCCTCTTCATCTCCACTTTCCCATCCAAATACTGTAAGGCCATGGCCACGTTTATGGTTTCTTTATGTCACACAGGCATGTGATCCGTTGTAGATGCAACAATAAAGGTAAGTTACACATTGTAGGTTGTGTTGATGTGATTTGTGAAATAAAAGACGACACAAACACAGGCCGTGTTATGATAATTCCTATTATTGCACACACAGCTGACAATGACACTGAAACCAGGATGAAGGACTTTTTTTTTTACAGTTACTCAAAATGGAGAAAGAAACAATGATTACATACAAATACGCTCTTGTGCCAAAGATACAGTAAACCACATGGAGTAGAAGAACATTTAAAAAAAGCATTTACACTGACGGACAATATATAAAAAGGAAAACGTATGAAGAGGAGAAGGTAAAAACAAAGCTTGTCTCTATGATGGGGTATCAGGACTATTGTAGGTTTAAAAAAATATATATATATATTTCGCGGCAATAAAACACCGCATATTACAGTCGGTGTCAAAACATCTGCATTTATTTTAAGTAACGCAAAAGCCAAAAAACTATAACAAATTCCCCCAAATGTACTTTTTAATTTATTAAAGATTATGTTTTATACTTCTTATATAATAAAATCCAATTTATTTAATTTCCATCTATGTATTTTGTATATCATAATTTTGGACTTTATGTTAGAGAATTTTCTTTTTTTATTGAACATTTTGTGAGTTTTTTTCAACTTGAATTTAACACTTTAATCTGAATGAATATCAGAGTTTTATTCTTTTTAAATGTCATTTTAAAAACGTTTTTCTTGGATTATCCTCCCCTTCTATGGCTCCTTATTTGTATTTGTTTTAACCTACAATGGTCCTAATACACTCTTGTATTTTCACATTCCTTTATTCAATGGATTTTAAAACACAGATTCCAGATCTGTAGCAAAACGCAACAAATATTCGAAGAAAAGGAGAATTTGGAGGTGAATTTGAGTCAATAAAAAGCATCTCGACAAATGCTATGAGATCTGTAAACAGCAAGACCTTTATTTAACATCACAGTCCTTTCATAGTTTTTAAAGTATACAATAACTTAATTTCTTATGGCTTCGTATAGTATCTATATTATATATCCTATGATTAATAGCACACACACATTCATAATAATCTCCTCTTCAGATTCGTGTGCCGCTCTTTAAATCTCCCTTTCCCTTTTATTAAAAAAACTTTTCTCAAGCTGAAATATTTTGTACAAAAATCTACACGTGGAAATCAGCTGGTGGAAAGGGGTCTTAATGAGCAGCAACAAACTGAGACTGGACACGTTGGGAAATGTTCTTAATAATAATTTAAAGTGATGAATTCATGCTTTTTCAAAACTACTGGACTGGTTTTTATAAAAATAAACCATTCAAGTATTTTAATATTGTGCTCAAAGTTCCCAACGTTAAATTAAAGGCACTTTGTGCAGTTTATGGCACTTTTAATCAATGTTTTTAAGAGTTGGTCCCTTTTCTCCGTATCACAAACTAAAATAACCTCCACAGCGTACCTTTAAAAAAAGATTGAACATTTTTTTCGGGTCCTAATCTAAGGAAAGGAAACACAAGACTTGTTTCCGCTGCTCGGCTCGACTCAACTTTCTTTTGGTTTTCCATCAGCAAAATGTGTGGATAGTACCTGGTACTTTCTTCTTTTAAAAAGCCAAGCTAACGTCAATAGCTACGGAAATATCACGGCTAGCTTTATTGGATCCTAACACGTCCGGTATGGATTTATTCTGCAGATACTCCGGGTAAAAACAGATATTTTGATCTACGTCAAAGTCCAACATGTGGCTTGTAACGGATAAGGTTGGTTTTAGCTTTAAAAAGAGGAGACAGCACGATATAAAGCACACAATAAAATACGTTTTTCCAAAAATGGTAAAGCGCAGCCAACACTAGAGGTGCTTCAAACATACATTCACGGAAAGAAAACAACTTTAGTGCTGGTATGCAAGATCAGCTGAGGTCACAGAGAAAGAAACTATTTTGCATGCAGGAGTTGCGTAAATAAAAATGGCAACCTGCAAAACCACTTTGGGTGATCTGAAGTGCGTACGTTCGACTGTTTGCTTCTTGATAAAAGGATCCAAAGAGTGTCACAGTTAAGATTTCTCGGCAGTTTGACGCAACAAAGCTATGATGGGATACTAAGAGTCCGTCGACATTGGAAAACGTATTCTAGAAAAGCACCAGGTACCAGAATTGAGTCGAGTCGAGCTGGATCGTGCAGAGGAAACCTGACGTTTCTCAGACGTCTTGTGTGATAATGACCATTTAAAGTCTTCCCTTTCGGAGCGTTGTGACTCGATATCATCTGTGAAGAATTAAGATATGAAACTAACTTCTCACTAGTGTTACGGTTCAGATCCTGGAGTGTTTCTGGGGGACAATGTACCGGTGAAGCACCATTAACAGACAGTTCATTGCATCCCTCTCGGATCAGTGCCTCATCTCTTCCTCGTCGTGCGCTTGCTGCTGTTGCCTCTTCTCCCTCCGGAAAGGGTTCCAGATGTTCTGAAAGAAGCTGAAACTCTGCTTCTGCTCCTCGTTTTCGTTCAGTTTCTGGGGACTCTTGGTGTGGTGGATGTGCTGGATTTCCTGCTCGTTGTTCTGGTTGTTGCGGCGCCGGAGAGTCATTAACTTGTGGTACGTTGCGGCTGGGAAAACACAGAAAACACAGCGTTCAAAAGTGAAACATTTCTAAATGTCCATGGAGCCTTATGCTCGTAATGGAGACAGACACAGGATAGCAACACATAGCCATCTCTGCTTATCTTGTTATCTTATCTCAGACTGTGGAGATCTCAGATTTGGTGGATGACTCACGGCTCATGCAGGTGACTTTCGGGGCGTCCCATTGGCCGTTGGCCCGGCAGCGGATGGTGGGGGCGTGTCTCTGGATGAAGCCCTGTTCACAGTGATATCGCAGCAGCGTGTTGATCTCGTAGCGAGGCTTCATCGCCCCGAACACCCGAGCATCCTTCACCATGGGGGGCTGCTCACAGGAGACTGAGGGGGGGGACAGAAATGGAGGATTACACTTCAAGACATATGTTAAAGACACTAGAGGAAGCAACACAAGCTGTGAATACAACCAGATGTGCAACGATTAGTCAACTCATTGATAAATCTATCAACACAAAATAATTGCTGACCAAATAGTTGGTTTTTATTAAAGAATGACAGTTAATGGCATCTCAATTGTTATAATCCCTGTTTTTGAACCACTAGTATGCCCACTTGGACGGTTTGGAAGACCATTTTTCATTTTGAAAAAAAGGGCCAGCTATTCTGGTAATGTTTTAATTGTCAAAGTTGTTTTTCATGCAAAAAAAAGAATAAAATGTTGTTTTCGGACTCCCAAATGTAACCCTTCCCACTACTTCCATTTTTGCAAGGATTAATAAATACATGGATCCTGATATTGAAGCTCGAGCCGGTGACGAGTGATATTTTTCTAACAACCTTAATGCCGCTTTAAACAACTAAAAAAGTGTCTGATATTTGACAAAACTCCCCCAGTTTTTCTGAGGCTCTTTGCAGTGTGTGTCAGTGTCTGGATGTACCTGTGTCTTTCTTGCAGGTGAAGGTCAGGTGTGTCAGTGTCTGGATGTACCTGTGTCCTTCTTGCAGGTGAAGGTCAGGTGTGTCAGTGTCTGGATGTACCTGTGTCCTCCTTGCAGGTGAAGGTCAGGTGTGTCAGTGTCTGGATGTACCTGTGTCCTTCTTGCAGGTGAAGGTCAGGTGTGTGTCAGTGTCTGGATGTACCTGTGCCCTTCTTGCAGGTGAAGGTCAGGTGTGTCAGTGTCTGGGTGTATCTGTGCCCTTCTTGCAGGTGAAGGTCAGGTGTGTGTCAGTGTCTGGATGTACCTGTGCCCTTCTTGCAGGTGAAGGTCAGGTGTGTGTCAGTGTCTGGATGTACCTGTGCCCTTCTTGCAGGTGAAGGTCAGGTGTGTGTCAGTGTCTGGATGTACCTGTGCCCTTCTTGCAGGTGAAGGTCAGGTGAAGGTCAGGGGTGTGTCAGTGTCTGGGTGTACCTGTGTCCTTCTTGCAGGTGAAGGTCAGGTGTGTCAGTGTCTGGATGTACCTGTGTCCTTCTTGCAGGTGAAGGTCAGGTGAAGGTCAGGTGTGTCAGTGTCTGGGTGTACCTGTGCCCTTCTTGCAGGTGAAGGTCAGGTGTGTCAGTGTCTGGGTGTACCTGTGCCCTTCTTGCAGGTGAAGGTCAGGTGAAGGTCAGGTGTGTCAGTGTCTGGATGTACCTGTGCCCTTCTTGCAGGTGAAGGTCAGGTGAAGGTCAGGTGTGTCAGTGTCTGGATGTACCTGTGCCCTTCTTGCAGGTGAAGGTCAGGTGAAGGTCAGGTGTGTCAGTGTCTGGATGTACCTGTGCCCTTCTTGCAGGTGAAGGTCAGGTGTGTCAGTGTTTGGATGTACCTGTGCCCTTCTTGCAGGTGAAGGTCAGGTGTGTCAGTGTCTGGATGTACCTGTGCCCTTCTTGCAGGTGAAGGTCAGGTGTGTCAGTGTCTGGATGTACCTGTGCCCTTCTTGCAGGTGAAGGTCAGGTGTGTGTCAGTGTCTGGATGTACCTGTGTCCTTCTTGCAGGTGAAGGTCAGGTGAAGGTCAGGTGTGTCAGTGTCTGGGTGTACCTGTGCCCTTCTTGCAGGTGAAGGTCAGGTGAAGGTCAGGTGTGTCAGTGTCTGGATGTACCTGTGCCCTTCTTGCAGGTGAAGGTCAGGTGAAGGTCAGGTGTGTCAGTGTCTGGGTGTACCTGTGCCCTTCTTGCAGGTGAAGGTCAGGTGTGTCAGTGTATGGATGTACCTGTGCCCTTCTTGCAGGTGAAGGTCAGGTGAAGGTCAGGTGTGTGTCAGTGTCTGCATGTACCTGTGCCTTTCTTGCAGGTGAAGGTCAGGTGAAGGTCAGGTGTGTGTCAGTGTCTGCATGTACCTGTGCCTTTCTTGCAGGTGAAGGTCAGGTGAAGGTCAGGTGTGTGTCAGTGTCTGCATGTACCTGTGCCCTTCTTGCAGGTGAAGGTCAGGTGAAGGTCAGGTGTGTGTCAGTGTCTGCATGTACCTGTGCCTTTCTTGCAGGTGAAGGTCAGGTGATAGTTGCAGGGCACGTCGTTCCACTGCCCCCCCTCGTGCCAGATCATCACCACACAGTCCTCTCCCGACTGGAAGAAGCTGTCGGGCTGGTTCGGCCTCCAGTGGTCGTATTGCTGAGGGAACACAAATAAGAACACTCTTTAAAATGCACCAAAACAGAGCTGTTGTTCAGAGACATGTTCTGAGGCAGGACAAAGCTACCAACACGAGTAAATGGTAAAACAGAATACCTGAAGGACTTCTGAATTAAGTCTGAAATATAACATTTAAATGTATGAAAATGAACTGTCACTAAAGACACATTTTGAAAATATGTCCAAAAACAAATCAACAGTCTCAACACTTTGGGTAATTATGTGCAAAAGTCCAAATGCATGTGTACAAATGTACGAGGAGACAAAATGCATTAAAAACAACGAACAAGCAATGATCTTTTAGAATATGATGCCTTGCTGCAGATTAAACTCGCCAACAGTATATAAAGACATCTCATAGACAACAACAAGAGCTCTTTAACACGAGTGACTGGATGCAGTTCCCAGAGAGAGCAGGCGGTGGTGCTGCAGGCCGGGGAACCATCGACCAGAGGAGACTGCGTTGTTCCATTGAGGGAGAGTTCATTCAGCCAATCTTCTTTTTCTGTTAAAGCTGCACGACAGTGGAACTCAGTCCCAGTAACGAGTAGAGAACAAAACACCTGCAGTTCATTCAAATCTACCTTCAAAACATGGTTAGTGGAAAGTCAGCTCACACTGTCTGCACTTTACAACGCTCTGTCTGCACAGGTGCCTCAACCTGTTGCTCTCTGTCTACTTTGTGAATATGTATTTTAGTTGAGTTTTTATAGATGCTTTTATCATTATATAAGCATCTCTGGTGAATGTTGTTTTACTGATTGTATTTACCTGGTATTTGAAGTGAATTTTTGTTTTTAGGATGACTTTCAACATCTGTCCAGGGACTACAGACGTTAGCCTGTTGGCTAACTCTGGCACATTTACAGAAATGTCAATCAATGGGCACTGTCCTTGCCAAATAAATATATAAATAAATAAGCTCTAATCTCAATAACCAGACCCCCCCCTACCTCACCCACCTGATCCCCCACTACACCCCCTCCCGCAGCCTTCGTTCAACAGAAGCAAACCTCCTCTCTATTCCCACACGAACCAAGCTCCGAACCTGGGGGGACAGAGCCTTCTCCGTCGCCGCCCCCACCCTCTGGGGGGACAGAGCCTTCTCCGTCGCCGCCGCCACCCTCTGGGGGGACAGAGCCTTCTCCGTCGCCGCCCCCACCCTCTGGGGGGACAGAGCCTTCTCCGTCGCTGCCGCCACCCTCTGGGGGGACAGAGCCTTCTCCATCGCTGCCCCCACCCTCTGGGGGGACAGAGCCTTCTCCGTCACCGCCCCCACCCTCTGGGGGGACAGAGCCTTCTCCGTCGCCGCCCCCACCCTCTGGGGGGACAGAGCCTTCTCCGTCGCCGCCCCCCACCCTCTGGGGGGACAGAGCCTTCTCCGTCGCCGCCCCCACCCTCTGGGGGGACAGAGCCTTCTCCGTCGCCGCCCCCACCCTCTGGGGGGACAGAGCCTTCTCCGTCGCCGCCCCCACCCTCTGGGGGGACAGAGCCTTCTCCGTCGCCGCCGCCACCCTCTGGGGGGACAGAGCCTTCTCCGTCGCCGCCCCCACCCTCTGGGGGGACAGAGCCTTCTCCGTCGCCGCCGCCACCCTCTGGGGGGACAGAGCCTTCTCCGTCGCCGCCCCCCACCCTCTGGGGGGACAGAGCCTTCTCCGTCGCTGCCGCCACCCTCTGGGGGGACAGAGCCTTCTCCATCGCTGCCCCCACCCTCTGGGGGGACAGAGCCTTCTCCGTCACCGCCCCCACCCTCTGGGGGGACAGAGCCTTCTCCGTCGCCGCCCCCACCCTCTGGGGGGGACAGAGCCTTCTCCGTCGCCGCCCCCACCCTCTGGGGGGACCGAGCCCTCTCCGTCGCCGCCCCCACCCTCCGGGGGGGACAGAGCCTTCTCCGTCGCCGCCCCCACCCTCTGGGGGGACAGAGCCTTCTCCGTCGCCGCCCCCCACCCTCTGGGGGGACAGAGCCTTCTCCGTCGCCGCCCCCACCCTCTGGGGGACAGAGCCTTCTCCGTCGCCGCCGCCACCCTCTGGGGGGACAGAGCCTTCTCCGTCGCCGCCGCCACCCTCTGGGGGGACAGAGCCTTCTCCGTCGCCGCCCCCCACCCTCTGGGGGGGACAGAGCCTTCTCCGTCGGCACCCCCACCCTCTGGGGGACAGAGCCTTCTCCATCGCTGCCCCCACCCTCTGGGGGGACAGAGCCTTCTCCGTCGCCGCCCCCACCCTCTGGGGGGACAGAGCCTTCTCCATCGCTGCCCCCACCCTCTGGGGGGACAGAGCCTTCTCCATCGCTGCCCCCACCCTCTGGAACTCCCTTCCACAACACAGAGACTGCACCGACCCCCCCCACTCTCAAAACACTGACCAAAACACAGCTCTTCAGACTGGCTTTAATTTGTGAATTATGCTGTGTTGCTGTTTTAATATTTATTTATTATTTCTATTCTTTATTCTATTTTATCATGTTTTATCAAACCCCTGGAAAGCGTCTTTGAGCACCTGGAAAAGCGCTTTGAAATAAAAAGTATTATTATTATTATTAATCTACAATCTGCAGTTCATATGCAGGAGGAACTAATCTGCTTTAAAACAGGAAATGAACATGTTAGCGTCATACAACATGCACTTTCAGTTAAACTCCAGTCAGGGTGTGCCTGTGTTCTGGATGGAAACACCGTCTCAGGTTTCAGACCTTCAGAGAGTCTCCACATGTTCAACAGCTGACGCACAAAACTGTGTCTTCATGACTGAAAAACTCCAGAGTGCAGCGGCTGGTCAGGAGGTCACACACTGCGTCACTAACACACACCGTCACTAACACACACTGCGTCACTAACACACACCGTCACTAACACACACCGTCACTAACACACACTGCGTCACTAACACACACCGTCACTAACACACACACTGCGTCACTAACACACACCGTCACTAACACACACTGCGTCACTAACACACACACTGCGTCACTAACACACACCGTCACTAACACACACACCGTCACTAACACACACTGCGTCACTAACACACACCGCGTCACTAACACACACTGCGTCACTAACACACACACCGTCACTAACACACACCGTCACTAACACACACTGCGTCACTAACACACACCGTCACTAACACACACACCGTCACTAACACACACCGTCACTAACACACACCGCGTCACTAACACACACTGCGTCACTAACACACACACTGCGTCACTAACACACACCGTCACTAACACACACTGCGTCACTAACACACACACCGTCACTAACACACACCGCGTCACTAACACACACCGCGTCACTAACACACACCGCGTCACTAACACACACACCGCGTCACTAACACACACCGTCACTAACACACACAGCGTCACTAACACACACTGCGTCACTAACACACACCGTCACTAACACACACTGCGTCACTAACACACACCGCGTCACTAACACACACCGCGTCACTAACACACACCGCGTCACTAACACACACACCGTCACTAACACACACCGCGTCACTAACACACACACCGTCACTAACACACACCGCGTCACTAACACACACTGCGTCACTAACACACACTGCGTCACTAACACACACACCGTCACTAACACACACCGCGTCACTAACACACACCGCGTCACTAACACACACACCGTCACTAACACACACCGCGTCACTAACACACACTGCGTCACTAACACACACACCGTCACTAACACACACTGCGTCACTAACACACACCGTCACTAACACACTGCGTCACTAACACACACTGCGTCACTAACACACACTGCGTCACTAACACATACTGCGTCACTAACACACACACCGCGTCACTAACACACACCGCGTCACTAACACACACACCGTCACTAACACACACCGCGTCACTAACACACACCGCGTCACTAACACACACCGCGTCACTAACACACACCGCGTCACTAACACACACACTGCGTCACTAACACACACTGCGTCACTAACACACACACCGCGTCACTAACACACAGGGAGAGGTGGGTGGTTGTCTAACCCTTCAATCTTCGATAGAAAAGTTCAAATGCGGTCGCTAAATAACGGACATGGATATGATAGTCATGATGAAGTCATTAAAACACCATCATTGCAATATACTTTCCAAATACAATCTTTTACGTTTTTAAAACCTTGTTCTGCGTTCAAGAGTTCGATTGGCGTTCAGGATCCTTTACAAAGCGACCACACCACCACGGAGGGAGCTTTTTTCAGAGGCAGAAACTCAAGATTTGTACTAAACAGATATAACCGTTCCTCTGTGTCTTTGAACAATCTGCATTTTCAGTTACGGCCATCAAACACTGGAATATTCTTCCAGCTGATCTTAAAACCTGCACTGACTCTCACTCTTTATCTGATGGTGCAAATCAAATGATATTAAGCTAACATGAGGCTGATCCTCTTGCTGTGGTCCTGTGTCCTGGATCCTGAGTCCTGGACTTCGGGTCGTGGCTGAACCTGTCTCTGCGGTCCTGCCTGACTCTCACCATACTGCTTCCCTGATGGCTCCCACAGGATTGGAGCTGACATCCTCGTGGATTCATCTTCTTATTACAGACACATGCATTTCCTAACATTCGGTCTATATGCTGTAAAATGTATTATCTCTTGGATTTACACACGGCATCTATTGCACGTCTGTCCGTCCTGGGAGAGGGATCCCTCCTCTGTTGCTCTCCCTGAGGTTTCTCCCATGTTCCCTTAAACTGTGGGTTTTCTCTGGAAGTTTTTCCTTGTACGATGTGAGGGTCTAAGGACAGAGGGTCTAAGGACAGAGGGTCTAAGGACAGAGGGTCTGAGGACAGGGGGTCTAAGGACAGAGGGTCTAAGGACAGAGGGTCTAAGGACAGAGGGTCTGAGGACAGAGGGTCTGAGGACAGAGGGTCTAAGGACAGAGGGTCTAAGGACAGAGGGTCTGAGGACAGAGGGTCTGAGGACAGAGGGTCTGAGGACAGAGGGTCTAAGGACAGAGGGTCTAAGGACAGAGGGTGTCGTATTGTCATACTGATATTCTGTACAAACTGTGAAGTCCACTGAGACTAATGTAACATTTGTGATATTGGGCTATAAATAAACATTGATTGATTGATTGATTGATTGATTGATTGATTGATTGATTGATTGATTGATTGATTGATTGACATGAATTATACTTTCATCTGAGTTTTTCAATTCAAGTATTGTAGTATTGTATTGACCTGTACTTGGATCTGTGTTGTAGCTGTTTGAGTGATAGAGAGGATGGCATGCTTGTAGTGTGTGTTGAAACCTGCCTCAGGACTGCAGACGGAAATTAGCTCAAATCTGGCATCAAAAAATCAGTTCTGAGATGAATGTATTTGTATGCATGGTCTTTGTTCAAAGGAATACAGAAACACAATGAAATATTTGATGTTTACCGTTGATATTTGCAAATGGATGGATGTTAAATAAACTTTTTGATGATGAGACTTCTTGTCATGAAAAGATTCACTTTGTTCAATGTTCCAAACTCACATTGGTTTCTCACAGCATCTCTGATAGTCTGTGTGTTCACTCTCTGCCCCCCCCCCCCCCCCCCCCCATGAGCCCAGTGTGCTCTGATTGGTCGGGACGTTGCGAGGCTCGCTGCTCAGCCAGCTGGCTTACTGGTGTGGTTTCCGGGTCGGCGATACAGCGAGAACAAGCGAAACTCATCCTGAGCACACACACACTCACAGCCGAAGTAAAAACAATAAGTGTGGCTTGATACTGAGAAAGAGAAAGGTTTATAGCGCTGTGAGAACGGGTCTGCGGAGAGCATTCCTCCACCATCCCAACTCGTCTATTACCAACCAGGGAGCTCCATGCAAGTCAATGGGACTCCCTGTTGGTTGAAAATGTACGCTAAAGGTCCCCACCCCTCCTGGTGTGTGAGGAGCTCTGCGGATTGGTCCATTTTGGTTCCCGGAAGAGAAATGTCCAACGAGGCGTTCTGGGGCAGCAGACAGGTCTTCTCTGTGTTAGAGGTTTACTCCCTACAGGGTGCACTTTGAGGGTTTGTGACTCTGCAGACCGTTCACATGCAGAACAAGCTTCATAACAACAAGGGGACGGGTGCGAACCAGAAGAGCATGACATGGGACCTTTAAGGTCTGTTTATATGATTCAAGTTTAAATAAGTAGATGCATGCTTCCTCCTGTATGGTGACTCTGTAGTCTCTGGATTATCTTCAGTAACCGGGTCAGGATTCTTAGAAGGAAAACGTGCTGTTGGGTGTTTTAAATGTATTTTTAAAGAGCTTGGCGACTCACCCAAAACACTAGATCTAGATTGAGTAATAACTCTACAGTTTAGAGGAATAATACCTATTTAAAGTTGAATTGTGAATATGAGACTCAAAAACCACCGTCTACAGTCAAGCCTCCTGATGACGCATCCTGAGAGGAACTTTTTCATCTACATAACGATGATTCTACAGGCCCTTTTTCTAATCCCATAGATAAAACACTTCCACAGACTGATACATATATAACATCTCACCATCGGCCTCCCGTCGGTCCATCTGAAGTCTCTCTCAAACATCTTGTCGCTCAGACCGAGCCACTGGTAGTCACTGCCCATACCTGAGAGAGAAACACACCACAGTCTTTTAATCACTGTTTCATTAGGATCCCCTTTAGCATTAGCATTAGCCATTGTTCCTGGGGTCAACACACACACACACACACACACACACACACACACACACACACACACACACACACACACACACACACACACATGTTTCACAGTACATGCAAACTAAGACACATTTCAATTACAGTTTCCGAAATCAAGATATCGTTTTAACAAAGGTTGGAACCATTGTTTGGTGTTCTCCAAAGCAAACACTTCTTCAGGACTTTGTAACAGATGGTTTGGAGAGGAAGGATGTGATGATTTACGAGGCTGTGGTGTGTGTGCTCGCTGTGGTGTGTGTGCTAGCTGTGGTGTGTGTGCTAGCTGTGGTGTGTGTGCTAGCTGTGGTGTGTGTGCTAGCTGTGGTGTGTGTGCTCGCTGTGGTGTGTGTGCTCGCTGTGGTGTGTGTGCTCGCTGTGGTGTGTGTGCTCGCTGTGGTGTGTGTGCTAGCTGTGGTGTGTGTGCTAGCTGTGGTGTGTGTGCTAGCTGTGGTGTGTGTGCTAGCTGTGGTGTGTGTGCTCGCGGTGGTGAAGAACCAGGAGGGAAGTCAGAGGAAACGTTCAAAGGCTGAGCTGTGATTTAAGGACCGGCTCGAATCCATTTCATCACGACACGGTTTACATGTTGCTCAAGCTTTGATTGTGTATGGAAACTCTGTGTTTATCTGACTAACACTCATCACTGGATCAGAGCGCAGATTGAGTGGCTGCTTTCCAAACACTCTTCTCAAAGTGCTCTCCTGTAAAACATCAGCAACGCTTTACAGGATAAGTGCTTTTAAATAAAGACATTTACTCACTTATGGAGTTTAGTGTATCAATGGCAGGACCAAATGGACAACATGGAAGTCATTAGAGACAGTTGTTCAACTATCTGGGAGTTTAGGCACTCAAATCCAATCTGTAGGTCCAAGCATCATGGGAGGTATTGCAAAGACATGTCGTTCATTATTGACCCACTGTACGTAAGGAAGGTAGGAATGATAGAAAAAGCTTCGAGCTATATGAGTACAATATTATTAGATACCATCTTAGTTTAGCTCGTTAGTTACTAACATTGGCTAATTATCAGTTAACTCAAAGTTACATTTGAGGCTAATGGGAATGTCATAAGTTATTTTCTTTGTCTGCTAATTAACTCTTAAGGATCTATCAAAGGTATTACAATTCATACTGGAGCTACATTTCATCCCATGGTTGTTGAGATATTTCACAGAAAGCTATAACTGTAAATCTAACGGTTGGGCTACAGCAGGGGGTCAAACTCAAGGCCCGGGGGCTAAATCCGGCCCGCGACTTCATTTCATGCGGCCCCTCAAGAGATTGTAAAGAATATTATACGGTTACATGCCGATTTACAGAAGCACGTTGCCCATAAACTACATATCCAACAATGCATCTCAAATTTGACTTTTTTCTCAGAATTTGACTTTTTTTCTCAGAACAAGTTTTTTTCTCAGAATTTGACTTATTTTCATAATTAGATTTTTTTTAAATCATTTTGTAACATTCTCAGTGAAGAGACTTGCAATGCTTTGCCCTAAACTTCTGCTTTCAGACGTAGTTAATTATGAAGTTATTACCCTATCCGATAATAATCCAATGCAGAGGCAATAATGTAATATAATACATTATTTTATATATATTAAATATTTATATATGTATTTTGATATATAGTCTTAAAGTTACAACCGGCCCTTTGAGTGCAACCATAATGCTGATGTGGCCCGTGAAGAAATTGAGTTTGACCCCCCTGGGCTACAGTAAGAGTCAGAGCTTCACCAAAGTAAGAAGGAAATTTCATGAGATCTATCCCATAGTTGATGAGATATTTTGGTTTGAACCAAAGTGATTGAGTGTTGGACCCTAAAGATGGACATTGCTATATGTGAATATTAACACACACACATATATAATAACAAATGAGAAACATTTACCGTGTGCGCCTCTTGAACCCTGTGTAGATTTTACTGCCGACACCAACGTTATACGTGCATGTGATTGAGTGTTGGACCCTAAAGATGGACATTGCCATTCAGCCAAGCCACTACTAAGGCTACACATGTTCTTCTGATGCATTGGATGTTAAACAGGGTTTTACTGAGTCTTCATTTCTAGGGATTAGAGACTGAGTTAAAAGGTAGAGCGTTTAGCCTACATGCTAGCACCGAGAGAGGTTGTTTAAATGCCTCCTCGTGGACTTACGGTTGACGTAGATCTGCTCCTCTGAGGACAGGATGCTGGTCAGGTGGGCTCCGTGCAGACGGCACTCTCTCTCTGCAGCGTCCCACGTCCGCCGGTGAGTGAAGTATTTATAGCAGTGAGACTGAAACTTCTGCCAGCCGAACCCACACAGCTCGGTGTCTGCAGAGAGGGGAAACATACAGAGTTAAAGAACTGGGAATGCATTGATTATAACTGGGTATTTTGGTCAACTATATTATATCTATTGAAGCCAGATGAAGCCAATCAGCGTACATGACAGAATAACGTTTCTTGACATGACTTTCTACAACCTATAAGAATGAAAGACCATTCAAACATGTAGAGTAGTCCTCTTAAAACGTCTGGCTGCACACAATCCCGCTTTGTGGTAGATTAAAGACATTTCTAAAGTATATATATGGAAATATAAAAGTAACAGGCAACGACAACAGAGATTCTAAATATTGTCGGTCAGGTTTGAATGCACCTAGAGTAACCAGCTAGAAAACGCTCAATAACCAGCTAGTAAACGCTCAATAACCAGCTAGTAAACGCTCAATAACCAGATAGTAAACGCTCAAAGACCAGATAGTAAACGCTCAAAGACCAGATAGTAAACGCTCAATAACCAGATAGTATACGCTCAATAACCAGCTAGTAAACGCTCAATAACCAGATAGTAAACGCTCAATAACCAGATAGTAAACGCTCAATAACCAGCTAGTAAACGCTCAATAACCAGCTAGTAAACGCTCAATAACCAGATAGTAAATGCTCAATAACCAGATAGTAAACGCTCAATAACCAGATAGTAAACGCTCAAAGACCAGATAGTAAACGCTCAATAACCAGCTAGTAAACGCTGAATAACCAGATAGTAAACGCTCAATAACCAGATAGAAAACGCTCCAAAAGAGTCCATATCAAGGTCCAAATAGATCCACTCGTCCATAAGTTATAGTACAGTTCAGAGTCTTTAACTAGATTTCATATCTCCAACTTGATAATGTATAAAATATGCGCACAAAATAAAACAAGTGCACACAATCAAGACGGCAAGAAGAGCCAGAATCCTGGGAGTGCGTTAGCGTCAAATAAACCAAACCTTTTTTAATTAAAAATGCAGAAATATGCTTTTTTTCCTTCCTGCTTTTGCAGCTTCACAAAATGAATTCTTTACTTGTCATCAAACTCTGTTGTCCAGTTCTCAGACAAACAGAGAGGAGGTCCAGCTGTGGGACAATGAGCTCAGCAACACACAGTTGGACTTCATTAACCTCCACAAACCTCCAGTTGTCTGCAGGTCACACACATGCACACACTCTAACACACACATTTGGTTTAATGTACAATGACTGTAAGCCATACAATCAGTTCAGTGCTTTGTGGGACTCGGCGGTAAACAATGGAGGTTTTGTATCAGCGCCTTCTGTGCCAATGAAGACGTGATGGAAAGTTGCCGTTGGGTTTTAGCTATCGTCAACCCGCCATTTCTTATTAAGTCCTCTGTGAAGCACCTGGAGGCTCAGGTGAGGTCTGCACACATTTCATTTGGGACTCTGCTTTTGGCAAAGTACAGAATAAGTTGAGGACATGAATAGCAGGAGAGTCCGATGGCTGTATTCAGCAGAGTTCACTGATTCAATGACACACAGCTGCAAGAGCGCTCTGGCAAAAATAATGGAGCAATTATCTGTTTTATACTCCGTCTTTCCACTGGAAGCGACTAAAGGACAGCTGTGTGTGTGTGTGTGTGTGTGTGTGTGTGTGTGTGTGTGTGTGTGTGTGTGTGTGTGTGTGTGTGTGTGTGTGTGTGGTGTGTGTGTGTGTGTGTGTGTGTGTGTGTGTGTGTGTGTGTGCGTGTGTGCGTGTGCGTGTGCGTGTGCGTGTGTGTGTGTGTGTGTGCATCAGGGTGGATAACAAACACAGAGCTCCTCTCAATAATGCACATTTAATTCCTGTTGGATATAAGACGCTGGATGTATGGAAACACCCTGTTTAGCTCAGGGGATTTCCACTTTCACTCCGCCCTCATACAATGCAATGAACTCAGAGGAAAAACACTGCAATAAAGGGTTCAAAATAAAACATATATCTTTTGTTGTGCATATTTTTCAATGTAGGTCAAGTCATCGTTATAAAAGTCAGTCAGGAAGAATGTTTTGCAAAAAGGTGTACATTTGATTTACCAATAAAGACGGTAATTATATTTTAGGGCATCGGTAATGATTATGTAAATATGAAATATACATAATATATAAACTCTGACACAGGCCATGTGTTGATGCATCGCTGCAGGGATTTCTTTTTTACTTGTAAATGTTAAACACTTTAAGACTTTAAGAAAATGTATTTATCGGTAAAGAAATATTTGAGTACTTCTAATAAAAGTTACTAAAAGTCAGATAGATAATCATAAGCAATTGATAAGCTGATTTAAAGTTCAAGGTGTACCAGTTGATGCTAAAACAGCCATTTCTTCAACGTTAGGAACCAAACCTCGCTGTAAAGAAAGAATGTGACCTTATCCTTTCTCTTCTTAGACGTCGACAAATCTTATTTATCTTTAAAGAATATTAGGAAAGACATCCACTTGGTCTTTTTCTAGGAAAATATTAATCCTAGGAGCATGCCTGAGCCCTGATTAGTTGCTGAGTAATGACAGAGGAATCGGACGAGAAGCTGGAACTAATCTGCAGAGGAGCCAACGCCCTGCGTCCGAAAACAGCTGGGAACGAAGACTGCAAACTGCATTAAGTTGCACCTGTGAGAGTTATACAGAGATGGCCAAAGTACACACATATTTTACTCAAGTAGAAGTACAGATACTCGTGTTTAAAAATACTCTGGTGAAAGTAGAAGTACTGACTAAACTTCTTTACTCAAGTCAAAGTAAAGAGGCTTTGAAATGTACTTCAGTAAAAAGTACCCATAACTAGCAGCTGTTTTAAAGAGTACCTGACCTCCCTTTATATTAATAGAACAATAATGTCATTGTTAGCTAATGAATGTTTCCATGCTGAACAACGGCAACATGACAACGTTTCCATTGGTCCCTCTTCTTTAGAGAAGACCAGGAAATGATGGATACACGGATCGTGTTCAAATCAATAGGCACGCAATGACTCTAAAGAATAATGATCACGCATCAAACACACATTCAGACTAAAGGAACCAGCTGTTTGGAAAATGAGAGAAGTAGAAAGTACAAGTATTTGAGTTCAACATGTAAGAAGTAGAAAGTACAGGTATTTGAGTTCAACATGTGAGAAGTAGAAAGTACAGGTATTTGGGTTCAACATGAGAGAAGTAGAAAGTACAAGTATTTGAGTTCAACATGTAAGAAGTAGAAAGTACAGGTATTTGAGTTCAACATGTGAGAAGTAGAAAGTACAGGTATTTGTGTTCAACATGTAAGAAGTAGAAAGTACAGGTATTTGAGTTCAACATGTAAGAAGTAGAAAGTACAGGTATTTGAGTTCAACATGTGAGAAGTAGAAAGTACAGGTATTTGGGTTCAACATGTGAGAAGTAGAAAGTACAGGTATTTGAGTTCAACATGTGAGAAGTAGAAAGTACAAGTATTTGGGTTCAACATGTAAGAAGTAGAAAGTACAGGTATTTGGGTTCAACATGTAAGAAGTAGAAAGTACAGGTATTTGTGTTCAACATGTGAGAAGTAGAAAGTACAGGTATTTGAGTTCAACATGTGAGAAGTAGAAAGTACAGGTATTTGAGTTCAACATGTAAGAAGTAGAAAGTACAGGTATTTGAGTTCAACATGTGAGAAGTAGAAAGTACAAGTATTTGGGTTCAACATGTGAGAAGTAGAAAGTACAGGTATTTGGGTTCAACATGTAAGAAGTAGAAAGTACAGGTATTTGAGTTCAACATGTGAGAAGTAGAAAGTACAGGTATTTGAGTTCAACATGTAAGACGTAGAAAGTACAGGTATTTGAGTTCAACATGTAAGAAGTAGAAAGTACAGGTATTTGTGTTCAAAGTGTACGAAGTAGAAAGTACAGGTATTTGAGTTCAACATGTGAGAAGTAGAAAGTACAGGTATTTGGGTTCAACATGTGAGAAGTAGAAAGTACAGGTATTTGAGTTCAACATGTGAGAAGTAGAAAGTACAAGTATTTGGGTTCAACATGTAGGAAGTAGAAAGTACAGGTGTTTGTGTTCAACATGTAAGAAGTAGAAAGTACAGGTGTTTGTGTTCAACATGTAAGAAGTAGAAAGTACAGGTATTTGGGTTCAACATGTAAGAAGTAGAAAGTACAGGTGTTTGTGTTCAACATGTAAGAAGTAGAAAGTACAGGTGTTTGTGTTCAACATGTAAGAAGTAGAAAGTACAGGTGTTTGGGTTCAACATGTAGGAAGTAGAAAGTACAGGTGTTTGTGTTCAACATGTAAGAAGTAGAAAGTACAGGTGTTTGTGTTCAACATGTAAGAAGTAGAAAGTACAGGTGTTTGGGTTCAACATGTAAGAAGTAGAAAGTACAGGTGTTTGTGTTCAACATGTAAGAAGTAGAAAGTACAGGTATTTGGGTTCAACATGTAAGAAGTAGAAAGTACAGGTATTTGTGTTCAACATGTGAGAAGTAGAAAGTACAGGTATTTGAGTTCAACATGTAAGAAGTAGAAAGTACAGGTATTTGAGTTCAACATGTAAGAAGTAGAAAGTACAGGTATTTGAGTTCAACATGTAAGAAGTAGAAAGTACAGGTATTTGAGTTCAACATGTAAGAAGTAGAAAGTACAGGTATTTGTGTTCAACATGTAAGAAGTAGAAAGTACAGATATTTGTGTTCAACATGTGAGAAGTAGAAAGTACAGGTATTTGTGTTCAACATGTAAGAAGTAGAAAGTACAGGTATTTGGGTTCAACATGTGAGAAGTAGAAAGTACAGGTATTTGAGTTCAACATGTGAGAAGTAGAAAGTACAGGTATTTGAGTTCAACATGTGAGAAGTAGAAAGTACAGGTATTTGTGTTCAACATGTAAGAAGTAGAAAGTACAGGTATTTGGGTTCAACATGTAAGAAGTAGAAAGTACAGGTATTTGAGTTCAACATGTGAGAAGTAGAAAGTACAGGTATTTGAGTTCAACATGTGAGAAGTAGAAAGTACAGGTATTTGTGTTCAAAGTGTACGAAGTAGAAAGTACAGGTATTTGTGTTCAAAATGTAAGAAGTAGAAAGTACAGGTATTTGTGTTCAACATGTAAGAAGTAGAAAGTTCAGGTATTTGGGTTAACATGTAAGAAGTAGAAAGTACAGGTATTTGAGTTCAACATGTAAGAAGTAGAAAGTACAGGTATTTGTGTTCAACATGTAAGAAGTAGAAAGTACAGGTATTTGTGTTCAAAGTGTAAGAAGTCAAAGTAATAAGTCGTTGTGTAAAGTACTGATACCAGAAACATGTACTTAAGTACAGTAACGGAGTATTTGTACTCCACTACTTCCCACCTCTGGGTGGAAATGTATCGAGACCAACTAACTGTGATGAAAACGTCTGAAGCAATGGAGACTCAGAGAGGCACTTTCACATCAACAAAGACCACTCCAACGGGGGCCAAAGCTACAAAAACAAGACGACAATCTAAAAAAAGTGGGATTTTACTCTCATTATTGGAGTTTGTTGAACTTTAGTGTGACCGCAGCTCTGTGGGGTTCCTCAGGTGAGGCTCACCTTGTTGGCAGAGCTCTCCGGAGTAGCTGGGCAGACAGAGGCAGGTGAACGAGGCGACTCCATCCAGACAGGTGGCTCCGTTCAGACAGGGGTTCGACTGGCACTCATCGACATCTGCAGACACACAACACCAGCCGTTACCATCCATCTGTCAGCGTGGGGTCAATGTGGTTAGTTTAAATAAATAAGCATGGCTCTGTGTGTGTACATACCTGTTTCACAGAGCGGCCCGGTGAATCCAGGTGCACACACACACATATTCTGTGTGTTTCTTCTGTAGCAGCTGCCGCCGTTCTGACACACATTGGTCGTGCATGGCAGGAGATCTACATGGATACAGAAAAAGTCCAAGAAAGACAGTTTTTCGATCAACTCATGCATTTTGATGCCAACACAGATAGCTGTTGGAGGAGCTCAGGTCAGAAGCATTTCATTGCCATTTCTACACTGTAGCTTATGTGCATATGACAACAAAGCCTTTGAATTTGAATTGAAATAAGCTGCTGTAAAGTTAACACCACTGAAGCTATAAAACACCAATAAGCAGGTCCATGTACCTCTGACGTCCACGGTGCTGACCTCCACAGGGTGAGCGTTTTCCGGCTGCTCCGTGGTCCGGATCTCTTCTGCTTTCGGAGGCCGAACCTCCAGCAGAACAGGGGCCAACTCTTTATCGTAATCCACAAAGTCATCCTCTGGTAGAGGGGTGGCAGCGGGGTCAGGGGTCAGAGCCCACTGAGGGACGGAGTGGGTGAGACGATCGAAAGTGTACAAAGGGCTGCGTGGAGCTCATGGTGGTCTGCTTAATCTGGGAATACTTGGAGGTGTGGTCTTCAGGGGTTGTGGATGAAGACTTGGACCTAAGATCTGGATGTTTGTTATCATCTGTGGTGGTCTGCTTCGTCTGCGAATACTTAGTGGTGGTTGGGTCGTGGTCTTCAGGGGTTGTGGATGAAGACTTGGACGTAAGATCTGGATGTTTCTTATCATCTGTGGTGGTCTGCTTCGTCTGCGAATACTTGGTGGTGGTTGGGTCGTGGTCTTCAGGGGTTGTGGTTGAAGACTTGGACGTAAGATCTGGATGTTTGTTATCATCTGTGGTGGTCTGCTTCGTCTGCGAATACTTGGTGGTGGTTGGGTCGTGGTCTTCAGGGATTGTGGATGAAGACTTGGACGTAAGATCTGGGTGTTTCTTATCATCTGTGGTGGTCTGCTTCGTCTGGGAATACTTGGTGGTGGTTGGGTCGTGGTCTTCAGGGGTTGTGGTTGAAGACTTGGACGTAAGATCTGGATGTTTGTTATCATCTGTGGTGGTCTGCTTCGTCTGGGAATCGAGAATCAGAATCAGAATCAGATTCAGGTTTATTACCAGGTAGGTTGACACGTACGAGGAATTTGACTTGATTGACAATAAAATACAATACAAAGGCGCTTTATTGGCATGAGCACATTTAAACATAGTATTGCCAAAGCATTCCTCACAAGGCGTTATAACAGAATAGAACAAAAAGAAACATAAATGTCAACAATTACATGTGGCACAACAGCATAACACAAAACATACTGTATATGCCAGTATATATTAGTATATAAATAAAAAGTGTGTCTGTGTGTGTGTGTGAGTGTGAGTGTGTGTGTGTGTGTGTGTGGTGTGGTGTGTGTGTGTGTGTGTGTGTGTGTGTGTGTGGTGTGTGTGTGTGTGTGTGTGTGTGGTGTGTGTGTGTGTGTGTGTGTGTGTGTGAGTGTGTGTGTGGTCACTCACTGCTCCTGAGGTTGTGGCAGGTAAAAAAGTATTCTGCTGCTTGGTGGTGGTTGGGGTTTGGTTTTCAGGCGTTGTGGATGAAGACTTTGAGGTAAGATCTGGATGTTTGTTATCGTTTGTGGTGGACTGTTTCGGGGTGGTAACTTCTGAGGTCGTGTCCTTTCTGTTTGTGGTTTGGTCTGCAAAAGTCACGGCTGCAACATGTGGTAAAACAGTAACTGTGACCTCTGAAAGGGGGTCAAATGGACCACCCTTTTTCCCAGAAACTCCCCCCTCTCCGGACATCTGTTCTGCACCTGATCCTGCATCTGTCACCACGTCTACAGCCGGTAAAACCAAAGGAACTTCTACGTCCACAGGTTGAGGTTTCTGGGTGGAATACATCTCCGGTGGGTCTTGTCCTGAAGTTTCGTCTTCTCCCGATGCGGACCCTTCGGAGTCCTCGATGTCGGTCTTTGTGGTTGTTGTTTTCTGTGATTGTGCATCTGGGATTGAAGTAGTAGGAGGCTCCGTCCCGCCGATTTCCGTCTCATCGGTCACGCCTCGATATTGGCTTCCCAATGACGAAACGTCGTCCGCGGATCCTTCCTGAGACTCGTCATCGGTGCCGCGACTTGCCGATCCTTCTGTATCGTCGAAGGTTGAAACACCTTTAGTGGGAGGCTGGGGAACAGAAAAGGGGGAAGATGGTGTTGAGGTTGCTGGAGATGAGACGGGGAGTTTCTGTTTGAACGTGGAGGTGGATCTTGTTGCCGTCTGATCGCCTGGTTCTTGGGTTTTGACGTCAGAATCCACGGATGCATCGCTGCTGTCCTTTGTTGGTGTTTCTTCACTTGGGGTTTCTTCGCTTGGGGTTTCTTCACTTGGGGTTTCTTCACTTGGGGTCTCTATTGGTGTTTCTTCACTTGGGGTCTCCTCTATTGGTGTTTCTTCACTTGGTATTTCTATGGTGTAGTCAAAAGGAGACAAGTTCTCGTTATGTGTCCCTTCTTCATGGTCCACCTCGTTTACCTGAACAGGTGTGGCCGTCTCGAACTGATCTCCTCTGGCTTCCTCTGGCAGCTCAGACTCAAATTTCACCTGAAAGCATCCGAAAATACAGATGATTAAAAACATGGGTCTTAGTACTCTAATGTACCGACGGTAGCAGTGGTATAAAGTAACTAACTTGTACTTTTCTTGAGTATTTCCATTGGCGCGTTCACACCGGAGTACTTTTCCCACAATAGTTCATCAGAACTCAGATATATTTGCGTTCACACCAAAAAGAGCCGGAACTAAAATTTGTTCATCAGAACCTTTTTTACCCCCTTTCCCGTCCCTGCTAGAGAGCAGGGACTTTCGTGGGAGAAAAAGGTTCCTATTTCTGATTGGCTGGGCGGATTGCAAACCACGCCCCGAAGAACTCCCAAAAAGTTTTGTGAAGCCGCCATTTTATTATCCTCGCATTAGCATTATTAGCATTAGCCCCGCGCAGAAACGCAGAGAGACTAACTTATGGCAACACAAAATAAAACATGGGAGCGGTGGAGATGAGGAGGTGTCGGCGTTCTGGCGATTTACTCGGATGGCTTCAGTAGAAGCTGCTGGGAGTCCCAGCAGCTTCTACTGAAGCCAGTCCCCAACTCCGGGGACTTCCGGCCGGGGACTTCGGGTGGCAGTATACGCCGTGAAGTGGTTTGCGGCCTGCCAGTAAACCCAAAGCAGAAGAAGAAGAAGTGACGTCAGCGGCTTCATTTGCCTAATCCTCCCCCAGGGACTCATTGCGGTGTGAACGCGATCTGCGCATCAGAACTAAAAGAGTTCTCATGAACTATTGTGGGAAAAGAGCTCGGTGTGAACGCCCCTCATGTTATGCGACTCTGTACTTCTACTCCAATCATGTTCAGATGTGTACTTTTACTCCACTATGTATTTAATCCCTTTAGTTACTTCACAGATGTGGATGAATGATGTGAAATATAATCAAGTGTTGAGTCAGACTTTAGTTCCACCTGGAGTAAATCCACCAGCTACCCTGCAGTATACAAAGTCATTCAAACTAGCTGCACCTTCACCAGCTTTGAGAACACTTTCATGATCAATCATTATAAAACATATCATATATATTATTCTGAAATGGACCAATCTGCACAATGACTACTTTTACGTTTGGTACTTTAACCTGTTGAGCTCCGAGCCTGTTTTCCAGGTCTCAGGCTCGAAAATGACATTCCCAGAACAAATTACCATAACTTCTAAAAGGGGTAAATTAATAATATTTTTTCTCAAAGCAATGATAAACCTGTGAGTTGGATGTAGAAGAGTCAGAATCAATACAGATTCTTTTTTATTTTAAAGTAAATTCAGATTGACCATAGTAAACATTTTTTCATTATTTTGTCCGTCCAAAAAAACAAACATTACTTACTGTATAGTGAAAACCACCCTTGAATGATGGGTAGACTAAAAGCTTTAGCAATCCAAACTACAACATATAATAAGTACCCTGTATCAGTGTTGGGCAAGTTACTTCCAAAATGTAATACATTACATATGACTTATTACTGTCTTTTTTAAGTAATAAGTTACATTACAATATTACTGTCTCTGAAATGTAACGAGTTACACTACTTTTATATTACTTTTGAGTTACTTTCACCAAAATAACCAAAACATAATGGCTAGGTCTTTTAAATGTAGTTTAGTGCAGCAACTGTGTGTGCCCTTAAGGCTACCAACAACTTTTATTACAAGGCTTAGTTGAATACTCGATTCTAATTGGTCAATTCCGTTGCTAAGGAGGATCAAGAAAGAGAGAGTAAAAAGAGGGTAAAAGACCTGGTGTTGGACGTCAGATAAATGAACAGAAGAAGACAGACGAGAAGTGAACACTGACAGGAACACGGTATGGGCTCTGCAGAGTTTAGGGACTTGTTAGTGGATCAGAAACTGTGAACCGAGTTGGACGGTGCTGCCGTAAAGTTGTTGTTGTCGCAGTTCCAGCCGTCGGTGCGCCGTGCAACGGAGTTTTTATTTTTCTTAGCGGAAGAAATACGATAATTTTTAGGTCAATAAAATCATTTCAATTAATATTGGGAGTCGAGTCGTTAGTTTGTTTAGTATCTGGCCGTGTAATAAGCGGGATAATGTGCAGGTCATAATGGGGAAAAGAACACCCTTCAGGCTCATCAAGATCCGCCTGACATCATGTAAACGCCAGGATAGCTAATCTTCCCGCACAATTTTTCTCTGGTGTCGGAATGTCTCGTGATGTTCTTAAAAAACAAAACACCATTTAATTTCGGGTTAAAATGTGTTGTAACTGCGTTACTGAGAATTGTAACGGGTAGTATATTACCCAAATGTCATTAGTAATGCGTTACATTACTTCGTTACAGCAAAAAGTAATACATTACTGTAACTCTGTTACTTTTATAACGCGTTACACCCAACACTGCCCTGTATCAAGATTGATGCAAACCTTGTGTTCTGTTTCAGTAAAAATGGTTAATATCGTCAGTTAGCTTAGTTTCTTCCCGTTAAGTGAGTATGACACATTCATAGTTTATTACATTTTAAGAAGCCCTGAGACACAGTTTCGTGAAGAAAAAAAGCCCGTTAAGCTCAACAGGTTAACTATATTTTGATGATAATACATTTCTGCTTATACTTGAGGAACATTTTGAATGCAGGACTTTTACTGTAACAGAGTATTCCTACACTCTGGTACTTCTACTTTTAATCAAGTACAAGATCTGAGTACTTCTACTTTTACTCAAGTACAAGATCTGAGTACTTCTACTTTTACTCAAGTACAAGATCTGAGTACTTCTACTTTTACTCAAGTACAAGATCTGAGTACTTCTACTTTTACTCAAGTACAAGATCTGAGTACTTCTACTTTTACTCAAGTACAAGATCAGAGTACTTCTACTTTTACTCAAGTACAAGATCTGAGTACTTCTACTTTTACTCAAGTACAAGATCTGAGTACTTCTTCCTCCTCTGGACAATACCTGATGTTTTCCGTTGATGAATCTGACGGTTGGAGGCAGGTTGATGGGAGAAACGTCGA